GATAGGGTCTCATGAAGTATTTGCCCAGGCTGATTTCGAACCATGATCCTCCTGATCTTTGCCTCCCAAGCAGCTAGGATTACAGGCATGAGCCACCAGTACCCAGCTTTTTTTTTTTTAAGTTATAAAAGTTTCTTAGTTTTTTATTTCTGGTGCCACTACCACAATTTACAGGGCAATATATCTGATATTTAATGAAAAGAAAAAGGAAATGACAAAGCTATAGTAGATAAAAGACTTCAGGAATGTACATCTAATTGACACTGAGTGTGGGGGAGAGGTGGCCCAAACAATGTAATACACATGTAAATGTAAGAACGATAAAATAAAAATAAAATAATTGACACTACATTGCATTAGTTTATACCAGTACTTTTACAAGCTGTGGTTATGCCAGTCCTGAACAAGAATTTTCTATGTTAAGCTGCAATAACTTTTCTGACAATGGATCATCATTCCTCCTGTGCCAGATTTTTTTCTTTTTTACAGTTTCTGTAATGTATTTAGGACTACTATCTCAAAGTAACCTGCAGCTTTCCTGACAACTCTTGCTCTCACTCCTGCTGAGAACTGTAGCTGTTTTTCTACTATTTTTAAAATTCTGCTATCATATCCACCACCAGATCCATAACCACCATGATAGGAACTGCCAGAGCTTCTTCCACCAAGACTACCCCCTTCATAGGTCCATAATTGGCTGGTGTTGTCCACTATCATTTCCAAAATCATAATAGTTCCCACCACCACCATCGTTCCTACCACCAGAATTTCCTCCTTCATTGTAACCATCATGACCTCACCACCTTGGTTCTCGTATCCTAATCTGTTACCACCACAGCCTCCTCTACTACAATAACCAGGACTACTACAGTTGCCACCATCACCTCCAAATCCAGTATATCCACCATTACCTCCTTCATAACTGCCTCTGCTGCCACTATACTCTCCTCTTCCACCAAAGTTCTACCATGACCCATAGAGTTACCAGATCCACCTCCATGGCCTCTTAGTGATCCAGCAAACTACATCCCTTGTTTAGAAAGGGCCTTTCTCATTTCACAGCTATGCCTGTTAATAGTGTGCTATTTCTGAACAGCAAAAGTTAGAAAAGGAAGCCTGGTGCCAGTAGTGGCTCATGCTTGTAATCCTAACTACTCAGGAGGCAGAGATCATTAGAATTGAGGTTTGAGGCCAGCTCAAGAAAATAGTTCTGGAGACCCTATTTCAAAATGTCCAGCACACAAAAAAATGTCTGGCAGAGTGACTCAAGTGGTAGAGTGTCTGCCTAATAAGGGTGAGGCCCTGAGTTCAAACCCCAGTACTGGGGGAAAAAAAGTTAAAAAAGTAAATCCTCTCTTTTTTTTTCCATTCTGCCTGTCTTCCGTAACTTCTATGGCTTCAATATTGCCATTCTTTTCAAATTAGTCTCAAATTATATTCTGCACCTTCTTTGATACCATTGTTAGATGAGAACCAGGCTTTACAGGATTCTCTGGAATCAGTTCTCTTTGATTTCACTGCACACCCAGTGTGTATATGGTGGAACACACATTGCTGCATCTACCTCTTCAACACAAGAATTAAGTCACAACACCAAAGCCCATGGAACATTTTGTTTGGGGGGGCGGTCTCTCATTACCACATAATCTGTGAGTGTGCCCCATTTCTCACAATGTCTCTTAAACTATCATCTGTAGTTGCAAAGCTCAGAGCACCAATAAACATCTCCTTAGCTGCTCTGGTTCTGAATTCAGCAAGATGTGGAAATGCAGCAAAAATGACAATAACGGAATACACTTCCATTAGATTGAAAGCAGGTCATCTCTTGAGTGAGAGTTGTTTTTTGTTTTTATTTTTTTAATTGATGTGAAGTTGCATACAGCAGGGTGTGTAGGTTTCAGAAATAAAACTCTGGCTCTTTGCATGTATGTATATGTGGCCACCATGGGTATTACTCCTTACCCCAAATGAGTCCTTCATGTCCCTTCACTCAGTGCCTCCACCTGCCTCAGTAACTTTACTGGCTCTGTGACTGTATGTTGGTCTTGCCTGTTCTTGGACCTCATATGGATGGAGTCACACAGTGTACCGTCTTGCGTCTGCTCTTTTAGCTCAGCGTAGTGATTTTGATCACTGTGATGTTGTCATATGTATCAGTAGTTTGCTCATTTTTGACTCCACATTTTATTTGCCCATTCTTCCGTTGGTAGGCATTTATGTTCTTTCCAATTTATATCTACTTGGAACCTTTCTGTACTGTCTTTGTGGTCTGTGCCTCCATTTCTCTGAGTCCTCTTGGGAGCTGTGCTTAGGAGTAGGAATATATACACCTACTAAAAAAAAACTTCCATGTACTTTCTCAGGTAATTATGCCATTTTTCACTCTCATTGGCCAAATATGGGAGTTATGGTTACTATACATCTTAAACACACTTGGAGTTATCCATCAGTCTCTATAATTTTAGTGTAAAATTATTTTCTGCGGTAGAAATACTGATTAAAGCAAGAATATCATCAGTTTCAAGACCCATCAGGTCTTAGATGCTACATTTTTAGTGCATAATAAGTAGCCATCAAAGAAACAAAGACTAATGAAAAATGTAAGATGGGCACCTAGTTCAGCCTCCTAATCAAGAGCCACCCTCACAACATTGTGCCACATTCAGCCTCAGAAGCACAGCTGGGAGTCTTTCTATCAGGTGTGTGTAAATGTAATGTTTTGGAGAAATGTATCTTATTTCCTTAGAGTTTTCCTGTTATATTAAGATATCTGTTGAAAACATTTACTTGTAATTAAAATCATTTTTTTTTCAGGCTGGCAGAATGGTTAAGTGTGACCTTGGGCAAGTTGCTTAATGCTTCCCAGCATCCTTCTCTGTGAAATGAGAATAATCACCATCTCTCAGAATTATTGTGCAGCTTAAATGAGTCAGTGATATGTAGGTCAAGGAAGTGGTGCATGGTAGATATTTACTGTGAGAATGTTCAATGTGAGGAAAAATTAAAATCTGTTTGAGTCCCCAAGTCCCCTTGAATCACACCATTAAACACAAACAGAAAATCTGTTGAACTAATTGCCAAAGGTATGGGAATCACTGTGTTGCAACTCATTTCAAAGCAGACACTGAGCATAGCCTCGCTATTGCAAGGGCTTTAGTACCTAAGATACCAGATCATACTTTGCTTTCTTGTTACCATTAGGTGCTGTGGCATAAAGAGTTGTCTGGTCTGTGATGTGTTTTTCTTTTCTAACGTAATTCTGCCATAGAACTAATTCTACAATATTTTCTCTAAGACCTCTTGAGACTCATGAAGTTCAAAGCCTTTATGAAGCATAAAAAAGCAGAGAATAGAAGTGTAATGGAAATAGTGGTTTGACTTTCCACTGTGTGAGCTTCATGAAGTGAAGGCCACATCTTCTGCTCCTCCATCTAGCTCAGAGCAGACACTTATCTGGCCTAGAGCAGACACTTATCAAATGTGGGCAGTAAGTGAAAGAGATAGAGTCTTATTCTGTAGCTCAGGTTGCCCTTGAACTCTCCATCCTCCTATTTCAGCCTCCCAAGTACTGGAATTACAGGCATATACCACCACACCCAGATAAGGTTGAAAATCTTAAGCAAAGAAGAAACACATATGTCCCAGATTTAGTTCTGTCAGTCTTTTGTGTTCCAGTGAGTTTTTTTCAACACCAGCAGATGAGTCTGAAGGTAGAAAATACTTGCTTTGGAAATGAAGAAAAACTTAATCCATCAGAAGCATCATAATTAGCCTCAGATGAGGAAGAAAATGGACACAACCAGTCGTCATTTACTCATCCCAGTGTTCTTCCCCTTCCTTTCTAGCTATCACACTAGAATAGCAGTTAAACAATGTAGTCATCTGTGTTTTTTAGTCATCAATTGTGTGGACTGTCATGATGCCTTTGGCATCAGCAGAGCCAGAGCTTCTGGGAGAACAGTATGTCTCTACTCTGAAGGGAAGAGAGATGCTGCAGGGAGATGGGGGAGATTTGGGAGGTGAGAGCATGAACCCAGGTGGCTCCTGCTGAGCAGGTGTCAGGGGCTTTAGGGGAGCCCAGGTGAGGGAGCTCTGAAGCTGCCTGTGGAAATCTTAGCTAGTTGATCATCAGGGGAAGGAGTGTTGCTCGCAGAAGAGATAACAGCATTTTGAGCCTGCAGTGAGAGAGTGTAAAAACATTCATTGTGGTAAGCTTGAAGTATGAGGATGGATATGGTGAGGTATGACAGAGCCAAGCACTGGGGCCTTGTCATGACCCTAATCAGAAGCATCCCTGTGTGTCTCCATTCTCCAGATCCTCACTGAGGAGGAGGTGTTCGAAAGACCTGAACCAGAAGCATTACCTCTGGGAGGTAGCACCCGGAGTCTACCTCCCAGTTCCTGCAGACTGCAAGGGTAGCCCTGCCACAGGTGGCCATGGTCAAGACAGATGAAAGTCACTGAAATTCCAGAGTGAGGACAGCCCTATAACTTTTAGTTAAGGGAAGTTTCATGATTTGTGGCACTGAAGGTTTTCTGAAACAAAATTAAGCTGAAATTGAATTTGTGACCATTTAACTTATGTTTTGCCAGATGGTATCTGGTTTTTTGGTGTGTGTGGATTATCTCCATGTTGTTAAAATTTACACTTGTAAACCTTCTAGGTGTGTTTGTGTGGCATGTGAAGGAAAAACTGGATGACCAAATAAACATATCTGCTCTTCTCTTCTCCCTTCCCCCAAACTGCCTCACACATTGGGAAGGGAAAGCATGGGTTTGGGATGTGTTAAATGGGTACACACAGAAGTTCATGAGTGATACACCTTTTTGACACTTACCAAGTGTAAGTTAAATGAAGAGAATTGAAGGAGGACAGCATGGGCTGATAGTGGCCTCCTCCTTGCGTTCTTACTTTAGGAAGAACAGATTTCCCCTAGACTATATCACCTTCTCATGAGTTCCTTGTATTTGACAGGACTTCTTTCTCTGTATTTTTCTAGGTTATTCAGCTTGACCCTGAAGAAACTCATCATGCTAAAAGAAATGGACAAAGATCTTAACTCAGTGGTCATTGCCGTGAAGCTGCAGGTGAGTTGAGCAGTGTATATTCAGGGCCCAGGGAAACTGGATACCCATTTGACTGCTGTCAGGCTGCAGAACTTCCCTGGCAGGTCAGCAAGGCAAGGAGTAGTCATGGAGTGGCAACTGAGCCCACAAGACCTATTGAGTGTCAGTTCTGCCTCCAGTTAAGGCTGTTTCTTTACTACTTGCTTTGTTTGAAGAACTGAAAGAAATGGTCCCTCTTGCTGCCTGCCTAACAGGATCAGTGAGACAGATGCTACAATGCTTTGTAACCTACTCAACATTACTAGAGTGGCCAGTGTTGGTTTTAATCTTAGTCCTCAGATCTCTGGGTTGGGGAAGAATTTTGCAGGTTTTCAGAATGGTGAAGAAACTTAGAGATTATTATTTCAGGCTTGACACTTTAATATTTACTAGGATATTTTATATTCTGGGTAGTTCTCACACTTAACTCTTTACATTTAATTAAGTATTTTCAAAGAACTCAAAATATTTCACAAATTTTTGTACTCTTTAAGTAATCCTGAATTCAGAAAAGGAAAAGGGAGAAACTGAACTACAGGAGCATTCAGGAATTTACCTTTTGCCACGCTAATTGCCAAGTGGCAGAGCTGGGATTAGAAACCAAAGAATGTATAATTTATGTTTCATTAAACTCCATTCCCAGGCCTTCTTTAACTGATAAAGCCTTTCTAATGACAACTCCCTGGGGCTTAGTGAGGTTTGGAAGTGTCTCTGTAGTCATTAAATAATGATTGAATTCTTCAGCTGGAGGATGGTGTATTTACTGAGTTTCATTTATTCAGGCACAATGAAATACATAGTAACTCCCTACTAAGCAGAATATTTTATTACCTAGCTTGCCCACTATGCAACAGTTTATTTTACTAATATTGGCTTTATTAAAATTCAGGTCTGTAACATTCATAGTGTGTGAATCATACATTGAGGTCTTCAGGTCCCTTTCTGGGATAAATACATTATTTTAATTTGGTCCTCAAAACTTAAAATGCTTTTATGTCTTCTAATGAATTCCTACATGTCCCATCTTACATTCTAATTCCATTTTTTGTGCATAATTCCTCCCAAACCTGTGAGATGTTCCCAGACACCATAGGTTGGAAAAACAAGTGTGGGAACTGATGAGATGTGGCAGCTTTCAGTACTTTGTCCTCCTTTCCTGATTTTGCCCCCATTTCTAGGTCACAGTCAGTGTTCCAGTTTTCAGGAATTGTTTCATTTGCTACAGGCTGTTGCTTTCCCATGCAAACTCTATTGGTACGGTTTTCAGTGTTCCCTGCTGCTTTTGCATTCCTGAAATTAAATGCTTTTGACAAAAGAAATAATTTCTTTTATTTCCTAATTAGATATTTGATACTTAGTAAAATCTAAAATTATACTAAAAACTGTTAAGTATTTTAAATTTTTGGAATTACTTTGCTTCCAAGCAGCTGAAAGTACTTACAGATGTTATCACATTTATTTATTCAACCACCTATTTATCAATTCAATTAATAAGTACTTATTGAGCATCTACTATGTAATCAGACATTGTTCTAGGCATGAGATACAGCAGTTAAGAAAACAGACAAAAATCCCTGACTTTAAGGAGCTTTACATTCTAGCAGAGCAGCAATGTTCAAAATGAGTCCCATAGACACTGTTCAGCGGGAACAGGAAGTCAAAACTATTTTCACAGTAACACTGTAGTGTTATTTGTCTTTAACCCTGTATTAAAATTTGCACTGAAAGTACCAGAGCAACAGTGAGTAAAATTTGCCCCAGAATGTACCAGCAGTCATTGCACTGTTGACCACCTGTGTTAGTTAGCTTTCCATCACTGTAACAAATACCTGAAACAATCAACTATGAAGGAGGAAAGGTTTATTTTGTCTCATGGTTTCAGAGGCTTCAGTCTATGGCTGCTTAGCCCCCTGGCCTTTGGGGCCAGGTAGTATATCATGGTGGGAGCACATAGAGGAGGAAGCTGCTCACCTCATGACAGCTGGGAAGCAGAGAGAAAGGAAGAGGTAGAGACTAGAGTCCCACAGTTGCTTTCAAGGGCATACTTCCAATGACCTAACTTCCATCCACTAGACCCCTCTTCTAAAAGGGTCCACCACCTCTCAATAGTGCCTCCCTGGGGCTAAGCCTTTGGTACTTATACAAACCATAGCATTACCACATGTTTACAGTAAGAGAAGGAAAGCCATCTTCACTTGGGAAAGTCCTTGAGGAAGGAGGAAGCTCTGTTCAATTATTACAGCTCAACACTGAGTACACATCTTCTTAACAGTCTGTGTATGAAATGGGTTGTGTGCATGAAGCATTTCCACTCGAGAGGGACACACCTTAGTCTTTGCATTGTGAACTGAAGTGGCTGCTTTTTCACAGGACACTGTTTTTTACTTGAAAGAACTTACCCGACTTATAGGCAAACTGGTTATTCACACAAGTATTTGGAAGGTATTGTCTTGAAAATGAGCAAGTTTAAGCCTGCCACTTCAAGGAAACACTGTTTGTTGCCAACTGTAAACAATATTTGAGCTTTCATGAAAATTAGAATTTTGGAAAACATGTTTCTATCAGTATATACTTAATAGCTTCCCAACTTGTAAAGACTTGTGAAGATGCCATGTTCATAATTTTATATAATGACATGTATAACATGCAAAAGAGTTGCATAGCTAAACAAATCAACACTATCCAAATGACCAGTGCATGAAGTTACAAAAGCAAGCTGGATAAAAAATTCATTGAAAGAATAGACCAGAGCGTGGTGGTACACACCTGTAATCCCAGCACATGGGAGCCTGGGGCAGGAGGATTATAAATAAATTCAAGGGTAGCCCGGGTTATGTAGTAAGATCCTGTCTCAACACACACACAATCCAGGCAGTGTGGGCTAACATCTGTAATCCTAGCTACTCAGGAGGCAGAGATCAAGAGGATCATAGTTCAAAGCCAGACCAGGCAAACAATTCAGGAGACTCTATGGGGGGCAGTGGGGGAAAGGGAGTAGTCTGGTGGAATGGCTCAAGTTCAAACACCGGTACGGAAACACACACACACACACACACAGACCAATAAACAAACCAGTGGATTGGATTTTACTTTTAAATATTTTTTAAAATAATTTTAACTGCACAGAAGAGATTCCGGGATCTAACTCTGTATTTCTTTGAGTTTGGATTTTTTTTTTCATAAAATCAACAAAATCAGTGTTTTGAAACAAACTAAATACAGAAACAGGCATGAGAATCTACCTCTCTTCTAGTGCACCATCCATTTAAAAATATTTGCAGAAATATAAAACCATGTCATCTCCCTGACACACTGCTCTTGGAATTGTCAAATAGTGTAGTCACTTTGGGAAGAGTCTGGTAATTCCTGAAAGGGTTAAACAGAGTCACCATATAACCTAGAGTTCCGTTCCTAAGTATATACCCAAGAGAAACAAAAGACAACCTATGGCCATACCACCCTGAACGCACCTGATCTTGTCTGATCTCCAAAGCTAAGCAGGATTGGGCCTGGTTAGTACTTGGATGAGAGAAATGAACACAAACAGAGCCTAGCATGCAAATGCCCACAGCAGCTTTACTCAAAATGGCTCAGAAGTAGAAATAAGCCAAGTCCATAAACTGATGAGTGGATAATAAAATATGGTATATTTATCCAGCAGAATGTTATTTGACTATAAAAAAGAATGAAGTACCTCCATGGGACAATATAGGTGAACCTTAAAAGCAAGCCAGTCACAAAAGACCATGTGTTACGTGATTTTATTTATGTGAAATGTCAAATTCCTAGAGTCAGAAAGTGGATTAGGTTAACCAGGGCAAGGCATGTGAGGGCAAGAAGGTTTTAACAGAGAAGTAAGAAGACAATTTGACTGTTCCATGTTAGAAGGAAAGAAGGAGGAGGTGGCACAAACAATGTATATACATGTAAGTGAATGTAAAAATGATAAAATAAAAGGAGAAAGAAAAAAAGAAGGAAAGGAATCAGACAAGCCAGCTGATAGGCCATGACGATAGCTAAATGATGATCAGTTTTAGTTAAGTGTTATAGTACAAAACTGTAATCCCAGTACACAGGAAGTTGAGGCAAGAGGATCGAAATTTGAGGTCAGCCTGGGCTCATAATGAGCCCCAGTCTCAAAACAAAAGAAAACAAAAAATGTTGAGTTTTTCTGTGGAGTGATGAGAGTATTCTGACACTGTACATATAGTTACACAATTCTAAATATACTAAAAGCTATTGAACTGTGCACTTTAGGTATTGACTTGTATAGTTTTGAATTATATCCCAATAATGATGCTATATTTAAAAAAAAACTGCTACCTTCTCACGAAATTGTTTTGGTTTTAAAAAATAAAATTTTCTTTAAAAAAAAAATGCTTGTTTGGCTGGGCATGACATCATATGGCTATAATCCCAGCACTCAGGAGACTGACACAAGAGGATCACAAGTTCAAGGCCAGCCTGGACTACATAGTAAGATCTTGTCTGAAAGGAAGGGAGGGAGGGCCGGAGGGGTGAAGAGGATGGAAGTTTGCTATATATATGCATATGTAGACAGCATAATGAAACCCCCTGTTTGAAAGAGGACTAAGAAGGTGAGGAGGAATGGAAATATAATGGAGGGCGTAAACTTGTTCAGGTTACAGTGTACACATAATATGTAATTATGATGAAATCCCATCATTATTATGTATGATAATTCAAAACAAAAATTTTAAATACCAGTAATCTAATTTTTAATATATTAATACTCACTAGCAGGCATTTTTATGTGCTGCAGTATTAGATACAAATTGCTTTGCCTCTGTGCTATGAATGAAGATATGCTATAAAATAGATAAATGACTTGTAAAGATGTTAAAGATTATTTTGAAACTGGACCCAAGTTGGTAGCGCTTCAAGCACCTGGAAGAAGCATATGCTGGGATCCATGAAAGCTAACTCTCTGGGAAGGGTAGATAGCTGAGAATATCGTGCAC